CCTGTTCTAATAACCTCAGGTTTTATTGCTAACAAAGGCAAGGGAATGTTATTGGTAGCAAGGGTATCCGGGTGTAATATTTTTCCAAACATAAATTCAACCTGACAACTCTCAAAGATAAATAGCAGGTCATCTCGAGTCCGAGTCCTAAATGTATGTGTGCACTTCAACCATCCTCTCTATCCTAGGACTGCCTTTGCTTTTGTTCCATGAGTGGTTTTTGCTATGTTTTCTAGTAATGTTTTCAGCTGTTGTGACGTCTTGCTTATAGTAACTTGTATGTTTTAAGGAAATACTGAAAAACTATGGATTGCCCTGTACACTTGCTGCACCCAAAAAAGAGAGTGAGAACTCTTTTCTCCAACACTTTCAATCAAAAGTCAAGGACTTGGTGTTTGAGTACAAACTTATTTCCAATTCTGCAAAGATTTAAGCACGTGCTTAACTTTACACATTAGTAGTCCTGTTTATGCAGACGAATAGTCCCATTCAGTTAAAGCTGACGACCTATAGAGCCCAAGGCCCTGATCCTGCAAACTGCTGTGTGGGGAGAAACTTATAAGGAAGAATAAGACTGTGTAGGTCTGTGTTGGTAAATAGGACCCATCAGTTAAGCAAGTAAAGCCAAACATTGTGGTTTTCCCAAAATGTAACAACAAAGTGAGACTGCCCTTTTGGTGTTTGCGTTATAAACTGATCAAACTGCTTTTCTAAGAAGCTGATTTTGGTGTTTGATCTCTTAGCCATAGTTTATGTTTGGAGGAAACATCTAGTTGTGCAATGTAATGATCCGTGCATTCTTAGAACACCCTGAGGATGACACACTGTGCATTCTTTTCTTTTAAGGAAACATTACAGCCCTCCAAGTATACTTTCACTTCCAGATCGACTGTGTATGGAATTCAGAGTTGGCCTAAAATGATTTACAGAGAGCTGAAATAGAGTAGAGCTCTCTGTGTTTGTAAAGGAACTTATTGACACCCTAGTTCTTGCCTCTGTCTGCTTTGTGAGGCTAGGGCTATGGAGGAGTTAGTGACGGATTATAGAGCTGTTGAGAACCTACTACTCCTGATGAAATTACTGGAAGCTGTGTGAATTTAGGATTTCTGGAAATTCAAGTAAAACTACACACAGCTGAATAAAATGGTCCTAGTTTTTAGTCTAGAAGTACCCTTCTTTTCTAGTTGTACTTGCAAAGTACTCTTTAAAGCAAAAACATTTTAAGTTTTTAAATCTTTTAAAACTGATAAAATTAGAAAACCTGGATGTCCATCTTACACACAGGACTTGTAAACCATTTCCTCTTTCACTTAAGACCTGATCCAAAGCCCTTTCCACTCACATCAGTGGTTTTGGGGTTAGATGGGTACCTGCCAGCTTCTGCATGAAGGAACTAGTGATATTCCAAAGGCAGCTAGTGACTTCACAAAACACCTACAAATAGATCAAGGGTCATCTTGCTCTTCTTGCTGTGTTCTAGGGGGTCTGTGAGGCTGTCAGCTATTGGAGGTAACAGGACTTTGACAAGGGAAGGCTGTCCCTGTGGTTAGAGCACTAGCCTAGGAAGCGGGAGACATGCTTAATTCCCTGCTCTGCCACAGACTTCCTCTGTGACATGATATTGGGCAAGTCACTTAGCCTCAGTTCCTCATCTGTACAATGGGCATAATAGTGCTGCCCTGCCTCACAGGGGTGTTGTGGGGGTAACTATATTATAGACGATGGGACTCAGATACTATGGCCATGGGGCCATATAAGATTAAGTAAAGAAGGAACAGATCCTTCAAATGCTGCATTTGAAATACAGACGCACACACAGGGCGTATTGGCCTGGTAAGGTCAGCAGTGTCTTTCTTTTTACAGAAGTTCTCCACTTCACCTTAAATGCTGGGGAGAGAGAAACTCATAGTAGACATGATGCAGGCAGGGTAATATTCTGCCCTTGGTTTCACCTGCTCATCTTCAGTGATGTAAATGGGGTTACACAGGTGTGGAACAAGAGGCAGAATTTTGCCTGTGGTGAGAGTTCGTTTCAAAGACCAGCAGTGAAATTATGCCTTGGTGAAAAGGAAATGCTGTTTGATCCAGAGGATGCTGGTGTCTGTGACTTTCCCCTTCATGCTGATTAGCAGTGGAATTTATTTTACCCGCAGCCACTAGAAGTATCCCGGAGAACGCACTGGTCTGTCAGGTCCTATCCTGAAACCAGAAAAAACAGCCTTGTAAAAGGCAACAAGGACTTGCTTGTGTTCTGTGCTGATGAGAGGTTAGCTGAGGATGGCCTCATACCGATACTGTGCTGTACTTGTTGGGCAAAGGAACCATGCGTAGCAGAAAGTCAGTTAGTCAGACCAGAGAAGCTTTGCTTCTTGATGCTGTGTGGATGGAGTTGGGGCCAGGGCCAGGGCAACCTATTAGCGACCTAGGCGGTCGCCTAGGGCGCTAGCATTTGGGGGCTCTTCGGCCGCTCTGGTCGTCATCGGCATTTAGGCGGAGGGAGCTGGGGCAGGGGGGCGCAGGGAGGGCCACCTGCAGCAAGTAAGGGGGGTGGGGCGGGGCGGCATGCAGGGAACTCCCTGCCCCAGCTCACCTCTGCTCCGCCTCCTCCCCGCTCTGCTTCTCTCCCTCCCAGGCTTGCGGCGCCAAACAGATGATTGGTGCCGCAAGCCGGGAGAAGTGGAGCAGCGATGGTGTGCTTGGGGAGGAGGCGGAGCAGAGGTGAGCTGGGGTGGGGAGCTGCTGCACAGCTCCCTGGGCTGGGGGAGGGGCATGGGGGGGCGCCTCAGGG